CAGCACTGAATATACTTAACAACTCTAAAGTGTACTCTTAGAAGCACGTAAGATGGTAATTTTTTTTTTATAGCCATTTTGGTTGGATCTCCTCAGGGCTGCACTTGGGTGCTCCAGGTCACTCTCAGAGATACTTGGCCCTATAGTGAAAGACTGATGGTTCGATGCTGATGCTAGTGTTGGGGGTACCAGGGCTACACCCAGTGGCTGTGGGGGCAGGAATGTGGTGCCAAGAATTTAACTGGGGCGGGGGGGGGGGGTCTCCCAGATACAAGGCATGTGCTCCAGCCCTTTGAACTGGCTCCTCAGCCCCTTACCTCGGTTTCTTTGTGGATGATTGTTGTTTTGGTTTGCAGTGGTACTAAGGGGTCACTCCCTGTGGTGCTCAGAGGTTCCTGCATTGCCAGGGATCAAACCCGAACCATCTGCATGTGGTCCAGGGCGGTGAACCCTCTAGCCACTTGGGGTGATTTTTTTCTTTTATCATTTATTATTAAATATAATGGCACAGTACAATTAATATAGTTACTCAGAGTTGAGTTTCAGGTTTATAATTTTCCAACACCAATCCCGCCTGTAGCGTCCACCAGTGTCCCCTGGTCTCCTCCCACCCCCCACCTCCTCCCAGCCTGCCTCTGTCGGGCACCTTTCCCAGCTTGGTGGTTGTCCTTTGAATCTCATCTTGGTTCCGCAGTTTATATGGGCGTATCTATGGCTGATTTTTAATGAATTGTGTTTAGAACCAACACAGATTGGCAGCGATGAATCCAGGCTCTAGATCGATGCATATTGCAAAGAAAAGATCATGATCTTGATCTTTCCTGGGAAGTGTAAGGATCCCGCTTTCCCTGTATCAGTAGGGCCCTCTTGGATTTCTGCTCTTAGTCCTGACGACCATGGGGCCTCTGTCCTGACGTGGCCGCGGGGTGCCCTTCCCGCGGGCCCCGGGGGGTTCCGGCGGTGCCTGCGATGGAGTGCTGCCGGCAGCATTTATAGTACATTGTACTCCGTTTTTATTTGCTTCTACTGGGATGAGAGCCAAGCCAGTAAAAGGCAAACAGCATTAATTCAGTGATGACATATGCCACTGAAAACTGTTTTTCTTTTCTTTTTTTTTTCTAAATATTTTTAAAAAGCACAACGGAGGCACTTTACTCTGATTCAGCTGGAATCAGAACAGGGACAGGGACAGACCGTGGGTGACGGGCCATCTCACCTCTGCTCAGAGAGGGCTGCTGGAGCCTGGCGCTCCATGCCTGGCGAGAGGCAATGCCAGAACAGGCTCCTCTGAGTTTCTGCCCGGCTGGCTCCCACCTGTGACCCCCCCACCCCAAGCTTTCCTCTGCGCCCCACTTCCTTGCAGGGAGAGTGGGTGTGAGTGGGTGCCCTTTCCACCTTACTCCTCTTTCACAAACCCCAGCCAGATGGAGTTCCGGGAAGTGTCCACTGAAGGGAAATCGTTCGTGTTGTACAGGCAACGGCACGATCGCTCTTCTTCACTGAAAAATAAAATCTCTCAGAGAACAACACTTACTGGGAAAGCCCTTTTGGACAGAAAAAGCCTTTGCCCCCTTGAGCCTGGTTCCAGATTTATTAAACCACCATATTTGCTTTTGATTATGAGGCCTTTTATTTAGTTGGTTTTATCTGGGGACTACAACCAGTGGTATTCAGAGACTACACCCAGTTTGGGACGGTGGGGTCACTCCTGGTGGTACTCAGGGACCATGCCATGCCGGATTGAACCCCCAACTCTCTCATGCAAATATCTGCTCCAGTCCCCTGCGCCATCTGCCTGGGCCCTAGACTCATCGCTCTTAAGCACCGCACCTGCTTATAAGACCCAGAAATTCTGGGGTGACCACAGTGTGCTGGTTTGTGGACAGCAGAAAGAACATTTACAGTAGTTTTTTTTTAACTCTTTCATTGAATCACTGTGATCACTGTGATACAGAACATTACAAAGCCGTTCGTGATTGAGTTTCAATCATACAGTATTCCAACATTCATCCCTCAACCACTCTGTACATTCCCTAGCTCCAGTGTTCCTGGGTTCCCTCCCATCACCCCCCCCCACCCCCACCTCCTGCCTGCCTCTATGGCAGATGCTTTTCTTCTTTCTCTGTCTCTGTCTCTGTCTGTCTCTGTCAGTCTCTCTGTCTCTGTCTGTCTGTCTCTCTCTCCTTCCCTCCCCCTTCCCCTTTTGGGTATTGTGGTTTGAACTTCCAATAATATTTTAGAGATATCCACGTGAGGGGCTATTTCAACCAAGGGCCCTTTCCAGGGGTGCAGAATGAGTAGTACTGATTTTAGACCCTGCTCCACCCACCCCTTCTTACTTACCCTGCAGTGGGAAGGAATCCTTTCCTGCAAAGAGCCCAGGAGTGAAATCTCACCTGGGGAATCCTAATCACATGCCCAGGGCTCCCAGGGAGGCTAAGAGTCCAGCCCCCCTATCAGACTTTCTGCTAAGAGGAGCCTCCAGTCTTTGAGACGTTGTCAGGCCCCTTGTCCCGCCAACTCTCTGCCCCCCAGTTGATAATTGCCTCACCAGACTGCTCTCTCTGGAACCCAGTATAATTATTCTCATTTGCACTTCTGGTTTCTCTGATGAGTCACCAGGGCTTGGCAGAAGGAAAAAAAATTATGTCACAGGACAGCATGCAGGTCCCATCTTTTTATTTAGTTTTGCTTGGGTGCCACATCTGGCAGTGCTCAGGGGATACTCCTGGCTCTGCACTCAGGAATTACTCCTGGCAGTGCTCAGGGGATACTCCTGGCTCTGCACTTAGGAATTGCTCCTGGCAGTGCTCAGGGGACCACCTGGGATGCCAGGGATTGAACTCAGATTGGCCGTGTGCAAAGCAAGCGCCTTACCTGCAGTACTATCGCTCGGACCCAGGCCTGATCTTTTTCGGCCTGGCATTGCAGTCCTGCAGAAGTGTCCCCTGCCCCTGAGACTAAAGCATTTCTTCATTGAGCCTGCAGGTGCTGATGAGCCTCTGACTCTCCTCCTTGCCCTCTGCCGCCCTCAATTAGTGCTCGCTGACAGAATGTTCCTTCAGCCTAAGCTGAGACCCCTCAATTGTTGGGCTCAGACAGTGACCCTGGACCCTTAATGCCTCCCCTGCTATTGCATCCACTTGATTCTAACGACATGTGCGCACATCTGCCTGTCTCCCTTTAAAGGATTCCTGCAGCCACAAGGCTGTGCCTCTTTGCTGCACTCCCTCCTCGGCATCCAGGAAGGGATTAGCAAGCAGCTGACTGATGGGAGGTGCGGAAGTAGGGGTCACAGCCGTTAGGAAGGCACTGTGTGAACAGTGAAGCGCTCTGTTGTGGTTTTGGACAGGAGCGTGATTCGCCTGCATCTGTCTCACCTGCAGGCTGAGTGTGAGGGGGCCCTGCTGTTTCACAAGCCTACACGTGCATCAGCCCACTGGACTGAGCCCTGGTGCAAAGCTCCCTAATACATAGGAGATTTTGACTTGAAATTAAAGTATCTGCTTCCAAAGCCAGTTATTTTTTTTAGCCCACCTTCTTCAGGGGGAAACACAGCCTGATGAGCCCTGTGCAGGGATAGCAGGCTGGCTGCAGTCTGGCTTGCTGTGGCACAGAGAACTGTGTCCGTGCATGCCCTGCAGTTGCAGCTCTAGCACGGTCAAGGGACTCCACAGGAGGCCAGTTACCCCAGACTCCCTCACTCGCTGCCTCTCAGCTTTCCCTCTGAGCACTGTGCACCTCCCATGCTCCTGGGCATCTCTGGGCCACCTGGATGTTTGCAGGCATCTAGCCCACTGTGGAGAGAGAAAAGGTTCTCTCCCAAGACTCTGGGGATTTCTGATCTGAGAGACAAAGAAGGAGCCGCGAGGGTGAGAGGCACTGGTTGGCCAGAGAGAAGGTTGAACCTTCTCATGCTCTGGCTGGGCTGTAGTGAAGCCGGCGTGAGCTGAGGGCCGAGGGAGGCCCAGTTTTCCATCTCCCGGTTGTCTTTGAGTGTGAGATGGATGAGGAGGAGTTGGTTGGTGGGGGTTGGAGGAGGAAAGGGTCCAAAATGCAGATCCGATGTAAGTACCAGCAGGCTCCTTGAATTATCAGTACAGCGGTGGGGATGTGTTGGCCTTGCGTGTGGACAACCTCGGTTCCAGTTTTCCGCAGCACATATGATCCTCCTTGACAGCGCTTGAGCACAGAGCCAGGAATCACCCCCTGGAAACCACTAGGTGTGGCCCCCAAATAAAACAACAACAAAAACACTCTGCTCTTGGGGGATCTGGGAGGTGAAGGGAACTGGTGGGTAGAGGCTTTAGGGGCGTCTCCTGGGAGTTGCTGCTGTTGTGGCTCAGAAATGCTGTTGAGATTCTGGGCATGAGGAACACCTGCCCTGGCCTGAGCGCCTCACCCCGTCTGGGCAGCGACACCTGGGCCCCCACCCCCACTTGGACCGTTGTCTCACCCTGGCTCTGTTAGGGAGAGATGGTTCCCTGAGGCAGATCTGGGGTGCAGTTGCCCCTGTCGGAAGGAGACAGAGAAGTTGCGTGAGCTCAGTGACCAACTCTAGTTCTCTGAGGAAGACCTGTTCCGGCTGCTCCTACCACCTGGACCAGTGGCTTCGGGGGGGCTGCAGAGAACCAGCCTTTGGCAGGGATGAGTCTGTGCTGCCTTCACACCCAAGCCTGTGCTTCAAGGTGTGTGGAGCTACATAGGAGACGTCGACTTTGGAGGGAGACCAGATGTCTGCTGCCCGCCAGCCCTCTGGAAAAACCATTTGCAAAAACAGGCGCTGATAGCGGGCGACCAGCACAAACGGCCCCTTTGGGTCAGGACTTGGTAGAAAGCAGTGCCAGCTGACCAACCCCCTCCTGCGTGGGGCAGCACGAACTGGCCCCCATCCTCCTCCCTGTTCTCCAGAACCCACACACACTGACCCAGAGCAGAATTCCGCCTCATGCCCTGGCTCCTCGCTGCCGTGCCCTAACTGGCCTGGTTTCCTTTTGCAGCAGAAAAGAACACCTCTGGGATCATAAGCCGCCCTTCTCCGGGCAGGATGGAGTGGATCATCCCTCTGATTGTGGTATCAGCCTTGACCTTCGTGTGCCTCGTCCTTCTCATTGCTGTGCTAGTTTACTGGAGGTGAGTAGGCCTGTGGGCCCCTAAAAGGTAGGGGGACCCTTGGGGGGGATCTGCTGTGAGCTAAGCATGCTGTGCTGGGATTGCCGGCCCCTGGGGAGGGGAGCCATGACCCTGGCATTCACATAGTAAGCAGTAACGTTTCAGCTCCTGGAAGACCCACCTGTGTCTGGAAGGAGCTGGGGGGCATTACGGTCAGGCATGAGGCTGCGCCCTTGGGTCTTAAGGATGATGGCCTCTGGAAATCAGGGAGATCTAGGTTCAAATCCTGGCCCAGCTGCTTGCTGCCTTCAAATCCCATTTCCACGGCGAACGTTAGTTTATGAATTGGCATGATGAATTTGGATACATTTCCCAGCAGTTCCAAGTGACCTGAGAAATATGCTTCCCTTGGTCATCAGCACAGCACTCTTTTTGACCTTTCTTTCCAGAGCCATTTGTTTAAAACTGGGTGATCAGGGGAAATGAGCGTATCATAGGATATTTGATACATGTAAGGCAAAAATAGGTTGACTGGAAGCCACCTTTATAGTGCCATCATTCTTGAGCTGGTTCTCACTGTTTCCCATGGGAAGCTTGCAGCTTCTGTGCAGAGTGTTTATGCAGTTGAATGAACTGTGGCCGGCTGGCCCAGTTGGTGGACTTTGCTGCGTTCACGTCTCCCAACATAGGTGTTGTTTTTTGTCCTTTCTTTAGCAAGCTTCATTGTGATGAATATAGATCAGATGTCCATCCCTTTCTCCTCCTCTTTCTTTTTTTTTCCATTCAGTTATTTCAGAGCCCCAGAATATGTGAAGGACATTCTGCTTGGCATAGTGAAAATAAAAGTGAGCAAACTCAGGGCTGAAATAGAGCTCAGAAATAGAACTTGCCTTTGCATGTAGGGGTTCCATTCTCCCTACTGCAGAATAACAACAATAACACGAGCAAAAATCCCTGGAATTATGGTTTGACATCGTAGTGGGGGAGGGAATCATTAAGCAAAGAAGTAAGTCCAATGTATATATCTTAGATGCTGGTCAGTGTGTAGTGGAGTAAGGAAAACCTGGAAAAAGAAGGACTTGCTAGGATTTCGAGTTATGTGGAGTGGTTAAAGGTCTAACACTTTAGCACTGTAGCGCGTCCTCCTGTTGTTCATCGATTTGCTCGAGCAGGCACCAGTACTGTCCCCATTGTGAGACTTGTTACGGTTTTTGGCATGTTGAATACGCCACAGGGAGCTTGCCAGGCTCTGCCATGCGGGCAGGATACCTGATCAAAATCCTAAAAAAAAAGAAGGAAGTTAAGTGGGCTTTAACTGGCACAAGTTTCGAGCAGAGGATGGAGCCTATGCAAAGGCCCAGAGGCAGGTTGCTGGATAGCAAGAGGCAGTGTGACTGGAGCTCTGGAAAATAGGGGTGGGTGGAGGTGGGGAGTCAGGAAGAAGCAGGATAAATGGGGGTTGAGTGATTCACAGCCTTGCGGAACATTATAAAACTCGCCACCTTTTCCTCTGTGTCAGATTTTATACAGAAAGGGTGTTAGGGTCTGCCATTGGGATTTCCTGGCTGCTGTGTTGTAAAGAGACTGAAGAGGAGTAAGGATAGAAGCAGTGAGACCAGTCAGGAGAAGACTGAGCTAGACCGAGAAGGAGGTGGTGATGCCTCAGAGGAGTGGGAATCAGTGGGACATCGATGAATTTGAAGCATCAGAGTCTGCTGAGAGATTGGCAGTATGCTGAAGTCTGTCCCCAGTTGACTAGCAAGGGAATAAGGAGAGATCATCTCAGGTTTTCTCAGGCATCTCCCAGTAACTAAAGCACTCATGCCACAGAGCAGCTTGATCAACAATCATGTGCATTTTTAATATGGTTTTTTTTTTTTGATGAATCACCCTGAGATACAAAGTTTTCATGATTGAGTTTCAGTCATACAAGGATCCAACACCCATCCCTCTACCAGTGTACATTTTCCACCACCAAAGTCCCCAGTATCCCTCCTGCCACCCCACCTCTCCCCCACCCCATGCCTCTATGGCAGACAGTTTCCTTCTTACTCTCTACTTTGGGGGTTTGCAATACCGATACTGAGAGGCGATCATGTTTGGTCTTTTATTTACTTTCAGCACACATCTTCTATCCCTAGCAATCCCTCCAGCCATAGTGACTTACTGATCCTTTCTCTATCCCAGCTGCCTTCTCCCCCAACTCATGAGGCAGGCTTCCAACCACGGAACAATCTTCCTGGCCCTTGTCTCTACTGTCCTTGGTTGTTAGTCTCAGAACATGCGTTTTTGAACACAAAATGTCACTGCTATGTCATCTTTGTTCCAAGAAAAAAGCAATTGGCAGACATATTTATTCGGATCCTCTGGTACATCAAGGCTGTTTACCATGGTATTAACTGCCCTGTAGAAGTGACCAAAGATCAGCAAGCCCATCTCTTGACTCTGCTTTCTACTGATTATGGTCACAAAAATCTCCCCAAGCAGAGACAGAGAGGCCCACACCTGGCCCAGCAAAAAGTAACTTGTCCTGCCTGAGAGCAGTTCCACAGAAACCTCAAGATTGTTTGATTGGCCACCTTAGTCCTCTGTGTTCTGCCCAGCCCCAAACAGGCTAATGTGACAAAGCAGAGTTTCAGATCACGTGGCCAAGCAGACTGGACACCACGTGGTTCATCAAAGGAATATGAAAAGAATAAGTTCCTTCCATTAGATGCACCTCCGCCATCTACTGTTAAAAAAAACCTGGTCCAAATGGAAAATGTGTACTGAAGAGGATTAATATTTCATGTTTTAAATATAATTATAATGCTTTCCATATAAGCATATATCTGCGTATTTTCAAAATTTTGTTTAGTCTGAGCTTTAATTTCTGCTTTTTGGGGAGGTGGTATTTGCACAACTCCCATCCCTGTACTTAGGGAACTATATATACAGTACAGGAGACTAAACCGTGGGGCTCTCACATGCAAAGCATTATACTCCAGCCCTACAAGCTGACCACCAGCCCTTAAAAGTAAGCAGAGCTTTAAAAATAAAAGGAACCAGAGCATTAAGCTATGTCGTGAAGATCTGGGCAGAAGACTTTACCAAACTTCTGTTTGGTTTTTGTCTTATTGTGTCCTTTGTTGGGTCTCCCAAGTCTTGGGACTGCTGCTGGGGTTTGAACCAGGGTCAGCTCTATGCAAGACAAGCACCTTAACCCCTGCACTCTATCTCCAGCCTCTCAGACTTTGCAGGGGAGCGGGGGTATAACCCAGAACTCGGGGTTCTCCTGAGCTACTCACAACAGTGCTCTCAGGAACCATATCTCTCAGGGGTCAAACCCAGGGCTCTTGCGCACAAAGTTGCTCCAGCCCATTGAGTCGTCTATCTCCCAGCCCTTACCAAACTTTTTATGCTATTCCACACAAGTGAGTGAGAAGCAGAAAATTCTTACAGAGCAAAGGGAAAAAAATAATTGAACATCAGGATGAATGAATGGGCTGTACATGAGAACAGCCTGGAGGCTAGTTTTTTTTTTTTCCTGTTCATCTTTTTTTCTGTGTGGTATTTTTTTTTTCCTGTTCATCTTTTTGAAAAATCATTAATGTGAAAGAAAGCACTGGGAAGCTCACACAGAAAATGGGTGAATGCGGCAAAGCTGTGAGAGTCCCATGCCTTTCGATGCTCAGTCGGAGCAGCTGATTGGTGAGCAGACTTGACAGGAGCAGAGCATTGAAGCCTTGAAGTCTGTTTCCTCAGGCGTGCCTGGTCCTGGGATAATCAAACCCCGTGTCTTCCACGGGTGCCGTGTTTAGCCCTTTAGTCTTCTGGCTTCCTAGTGTCTTTACTTCCTGTCACTGCAATTTAATGGTTTGATAAATAACAGGGAAAGAAACCTGAGATCATTGAGTTCTTTTCTTTATTTTGCAGGGGGTTGGGGACACGACACCTGGCAGTGCTCACAGTACCCAGCTACTCTGAGCTTTGTGCTCAGGGGACCATGTAGTGCTGAGAATCAAACCCTGACCTTTTGCATATGGAACACGTGTTCAGCCCATTGAACTCCCTCCCTCCCCATGAGTTCTACACATGAGTGTAATGGTGGTGCTCGCTAATGTTCAGAGTCTTGTTTTACTCCCATGTACTGTGCCAAGCACTTGGGGAACATCCAGTCTCATGTGATCTTACCACTGATCTCTGGCAGGAACCCTGACTGCCTCCCTTTCTAAACGGAAGACCCAGAAGCTCAAGATCAAGTACCTTGCCCAGGGTTCTGCACTAAGTGGATTTGGAACACAGTATCGTCTCCACTGCAGGACATTCAGGCATATTTAACCACTGAGATAAATGCCTCGCAAGGAACGTGCAAGAGGTTCAGCTTAGGGTTAGTGGGCCAGACCCTAGCGTGGGCTTCACCTGCTTTTCTGATGCTGGCTATCAATTAACACTGTCTGGGTGCTGATGGTGGGCTAAGCAGTGTGTCCTGGATGTGTGTTGGTCAGAAGAACCCCCTTGTGTTATGATTTAAACAAAAAGAAAAACACTTTTCAAAATGCGCTAAACACCAGAGGACAAAAACGTTTGTTAATTCACGGAATTGAAATGCCCAGGCGTACCAAGCCCAGCCGGACTCAGAGGTGTGGCATAGCCTTGGGACAGGTGTGTGTCTCTTTCTCTGGGAGCTGCTCACCCTCTCTGGGAAGTCCTCAGCCCTCTGACCATTTCCACTGGGTGGCCTCTACCCACGCTGGACATCCATCTGCTCCACCTCCCTCATTAGAGAAAAGGGAATTTCTATAATGGTTTGAGTATAGTTCCAAAATATAGATCTGACTCTGGTCATTTCTCCTTGCCTGGAGTGTTGTGGCGAGAGGTTTCAAGGGTCTCGTGAGCTTGGGTCATCTGTGTAACTCGAGAGCCCTGTGCAAGGGGATTGCTATCAAAACCACATGTGTTAAGGCTGACCACTGGGTGGTTTCCCCAAGGGCTCAGCAAGGCCCCGAAAGGTGGCACTAGACAATGCCAGGCAGACAGAA